GAAGCTTGGAGACCTCAAGGAAAGAATGTTCTCTGTCTTCAGTTCTGCCTTGTTCCCTCTTTCCTCCTAGACTGTCTTTGGGCTTTTTTTGTCATAAACTTCTCTCATACTTTCCAACAATTATTCCCCACAGTACAGTGCTGTTTTTCCCATGAAAGACTTCCAGTCTGGTTTTATTCACCTTATTCACCTGCCCAACATCGCAGTTTTTATTCTCTCGCATGAATAAAAATCTCAGCACATGAGAATTTTTCCTTTTTGCTTTCTTCAGAGAAGTTCTGATACTATTTTTTCCTCCCTGATACTGAACAACTTTGCGTATTGGTCGATACCAAGTACCAATGCGGTACATATGCATTAAAAGCGTAGGTGATCAAAACTTCGCTATCCTGGGGAAATAAAATGGCAGAAGTTGGAAATGAAAGAAGCAAATAGTGCTGACAGGTAGCAGGGTCCTGTTTTGGGGCTAATAAATTACGTGGTATGGGATCGCTGGAAAGAAATGCGTACTCGCTGATAATGCAATACTGCATTTTAGGCAATATCAGAAGAATTTCCAATACTGTTATTGGTATTTAAACAAATCTTTCTTCAGTTCCTCTCTAGTCAGAGGTGTTCTCACTAAATCTTTGTGAATTATTTAGCTTACCGGATGTCACCAGAGAGTGGCACAATAGAAATCATCAGTATGTCTCCACAAAACAAATGGGCTGGTTGGAAGGTTGGCGACATGAGATACTGTGGCTGCTGAGATAACTGGACATGATAGCCACTATAGCCACTATAGCCAGACAAGCAAGTTGGATTGCCCACTAATTTGGTTGCTACCAATAAGTAAAGTTGTGCAGAGTTTTGGTGGTGCAACAAAGCCAATATCCCCTCAAAGGGTAGCAGCGAAAAGTTAATCAGTGTTAAACTCTGATGCAAAAGCCCTGCACAGATTTACTTTGCCTGAAGCAAATCTACTGATTGCAGCTATTCCATTTTAATGAAGTGATTTTGATATTAAATTTGAAAATAATTTACCAAACACAACTTGATACACCCACAATACTAAGGCAATCAGTATGACTGCATATCAAAGTTAAAATTATTTTATTCATTGATATTAATGACTCACCTGACATCTATTCATCTGTCATCATGAGGTAAACCCCACCCAAAAAATAACCTGAAATAAACAATATCATATTACAAAGTCATCCTCCTAGGGAGCGCCACAGATCCTCCCATATTACCAGAAGTTGTTACTACAGCACCCATCATAGAGGCTGAAGCTGTGTCATGCTATGCCCAGCCAAGGCACAGTGACCACAGCATGTTGTGCCCAGTCACCATAGTGACCGTATTTAGAGATCACCCTGCTGTGATTGACCACGGAAGAACTGAGGCTCCACCAAGCCTTTCAGTCTCCCATCGTCACTACAAGGAGCCAACCGACTTTTACTGCGGGCTGCGTAGTGTGCCATCACAAGCATGAAAGTGTTTATTAAAACTACCGTATCTACAGTATACATTTTCTGAATTCATTTGGGATGCATAGTACAGTGTAAGCATGTTATTAGCATTTTCATTGTAGTAGAATATTTTTATCCCCCCATGTTTATGTGCAGTACTTGCGTTAAGTGTATTCAGTATTCATAGTATGCAGCTGCTGTGCGCGATCTTGTATCTGTTCTGTATTCCTGAAGCCGTGTTGTGGGATTGTTGCTCCTTTAATTATTCTCTCATATTAAAGGATCAAAGGTCTCTGCCACAGTCAACCCCCTGCATTTCATTATAACTGTGTGCACACACACACACACACACACACACATTAACATGGACACACATTGGGGGGACATCGGTTATGTTCAATTTTTGAATTTTTGAATGTGATTTCCTGTAATTATAAAAAAAAGGATAAATGTTAGCCTTTTCAAGTTTGCCACTGAAGAGCCCAGCATGTTAGTTTTGATTTGGCTCCTTGGTGAGATTTTTCTTTATCAACCCCGAGCTTGCACCAGTCCTCAGAAGGGTGTCACTGATCACCCTCTGGCATGGGGGATAGAGCATGTTTTATTCTCCCAAAGTACTTTCATGTCTGTGTGTGTGCACGTAAGCCGTGTGTGAACATGTGTTCGTTCTGTGTGTGTGTGTGTGTGTGTGTGTGTGTGTGTGTGTGTGTGTGTGTGTGCGTGTGTGCGTGCGTGTGCGTGTGCTGTGTCTTTGCCCTCTCCCCTCTGCTCCAGCACGGGACCAAACCAATCCTCTCCACTGCTTCCTGAGGGCTCTCCCACTGATAGGCTGCTCCAGCACTCTGTTCTTTGACACCCACAGCTCTTCAGTGCTCCCATGATGCCCCTGTGCTGTCACCACTCTGCTGCATGGTGGCTGGCAGGAGGGGAGGATGTGGAGTGTAATTAGGGCGTACCCAAGCCTACCAGGGCCAGAGAGAAGGAAAGGGAGGAAGGAAGGGAAGAGGATAGAAAGAAGGCTGACAGTTTGACATCAGTAGAGCACACGTCTCTGTAATTGCTGGCGTGCATATGGCGCAGGCCGAGGTTGGAGAATTGTGGGAGGAAGGTGGGGGGGTAATGTAGGATAGAGAGGAGTCAGAAATAGGATGGCGAGCAGGAGGAGCTGCAACCTCTAAAGCAATAGATTGGGGATGAGTGCATGTCATCCAAAGTGGGAGAAGACGAGGGAGGAGATCGAGGAGAGGAAGGGGGTGAGGAGGAATGCAAATTGGGGGATGGGAGATCGGGAGATGGGGGTAAACAGGGCTTGAGTGGTGCAGAAGAAGCTTGAGGTGACTGACATGTATAGCAGGGGGTGCAGCATGTTGACACAGCACACATCTATTATTACAATACATACACGCACACACACTCCCACAGCTGGTGCATCTAAAAGTAAACAATTCTCAGCCTCAGAGAAGTCTCAGAAAGCACCACAGGTAGTGCGAAGAGTCAACGGGCTGCTGTGTGTGTGTGTGTGTGTGTGTGTGTGTGTGTGTGTGTGTGTGTGTGTGTGTGTGTGTGTGTGTGTGTGTGTGTGTGTGTGTGTGTGTGTGTGTGTGTGTGTGAGAGACAGTGTGTATGCTTACACTGGCTTATGTGCTTTTGTGTTCTCTTAACCAGACAATCGAGTGCCTTTGTTCAGCTGTAATTAGCACACACAGGTAATAGAGCCATCGTACATGGCCCCACACACACACACTCACAGAAGGGATATTGATCAGGGGAGTGTGTGTGTGTCCTGAGCGAGGGATCCTGATCGATGGTGTCCTGTCCCGTTGATAGATCGCCAATTCTGCACGCTAGCTATTGAGCAGGAAGCAGCTTTGGTGAGACCTGCCTTCAGGGTCTCACCTGCATCTCCATGACACACACACACACACACACACACACACACTTTCCTGCTTTTCTGCTCCATTATCTCACTCAGAAATACACCATTGCGCCCACATTCAGGTTCAAAGTTAACAGAAAACGTGGATTTCTATTTCAGTTTTTTTCTTCCCTCTGTCGGTCTCTTGTCATTTCTCCTCTCATTGCTCCATCCATCTTTTGATACCCTCTGCAGATTTGCTGAACCATCCCGTCTCCTGCTTCCCATCATGTCTTTTTCATTTCAGTTTTCGTCTTCCTCTCTCCGCACTCATTCTTCCTCTCATTTATTCTTTTGGTGTCTTCTCTGTCCGCCTACTTAACTTGAGACTACTCCGCCAGTCCACCATCATCCTCCCCTCCCCATTCCACGCTCTTTTTTTTTTTTTATTTCCCCCCCTCCCATGTTCCCCTTCACTGACTCCCAGCACTCCTTCCTCTCTCCTCCGCTCTGTCACCCCTCTATAAAGACTCCCACTGATGGACCTGAACCTTCTGCCCAAGCCACATTCTGCCCCTCATTCTTTTCTCCTGCGCTCCATGCGAAGAGGAGACCAATTAAAGTCCGTCTCCTCTTTCTTCCACTCTGTTGTTCTCCTGACTGTGTGTCTGCCCTCAGACTCTCTGGGGTCGCTAATTAAAACACTTTACTTTCTTTAGTCTTTACTCCACTTTTTTCACCTGTTCATCCCGTTTCCTCTACTTTTTGGCTTTCTTATTCATTTTCTTGTTCCACCTCTCTGCTCTAACATGTCTCAACAGCTCTCTTTTCATCAGTCTCCTTCTGTCTTCATCTGAGCCCCATCTCATGTCACTCCATCACTCACATTGCTTCCTTCCATTTGTCACACATTTCTGTCCTCATTTAGCATCTCCTGCTTTGTCTTTTCATGCCCTTGTGATTCATACAAAGTCATGATTTCTTCGTGTTAAATTTACCTCTCTCACTCTGTCCTACATCTACTCCCCTCAATCTTATCCATATTAGTTTGTACATGGGTAACTCTTTGTTCTGTAGCAGACAGAAAGTCATGATCCGCAGTCTAAAGGAGCATGCATTATGCAGCTCTTCTGTTCTAATGATGCTGTCTTGTCCAGAGTTGTTGTTATGCCTAAAGCCAGTCAACCTTGACTGAAGTCGTGGTTGTGCATGCGTGTACACATAAGTTTGCACACGCCTGTGTATATCTGTAGTGTGTAGTGAGAGAGCGGAAAGCAGAGGGAGCCAAGTTTATTTTACACCAAGTTCCCCTCAATGGTCTTAATAAGCATATGAGGAATTGTTGTTCTCTCTATTGCATCTGTCGCTCAACACTGCTCCCTTGCTGGTATGGAAGTACAATGGAGTTGTATCATTGTGATATATCAAATCCTAAAACAATGTTTTAAGACCTGCAGAACTTTGTTTTATCACCCTCTGTAATCGTTATGTGTAATATTGATGAACTATCCATCTGCTGTAACTATCTACATTCCTCCAGGCACAAAGGAATTATGGAATATCTGTCATCCGTCTTCTTTCTCTCTCTGTCTGTGCTTAATCACCACCTCTCTATCCCCTTCAGTCATGTATTACCCTTGTGTAATCATTACGTGAAATATTAATGTCATTGTCATTCTTCCTTCCAGGTTAACAGCAGGAGATCTGTCCATCCAGGTGAACCTGAATGACTACCTGGACATTTACTGCCCACACTACCCCAACAAGGGGACTCTGGACCCCGGGCAGCCAGAGTCACTGGCCCTCTACCTGGTGGGAGAGGCTACTTTCCAGGGCTGTGTGGAGACTAGAGGGGCTATCAAGAGGTGGGAGTGTAACACCCCCTACGCTCCCTTCGGACCAGTGCGCTTCTCTGAAAAGATCCAAAGGTTCACCCCCTTCTCGCTGGGGTTTGAGTTTCTGCCAGGGCGCCACTACTACTACAGCTGTGAGTAGAAGGATATTCGTTTCTCTGTTTGTGTGAGGGGCATGATTTAGACTGGGTATGCAGAGATTCAAGTGGGACTGAAGTATGGCTGGGAATTATTTGAAATTGTTTGAGACCAGTACCAAAATAAAACTTGAGTTTTCGTGCCGATTCACAATATCACAAAATATTCTAAACTTCTGAATTAATCAGTTTTTTTAAATGTTTAAACAAGCAGCTAGACAAAAGCTCATAGTTTCAGGAAATATGTTACTACTGAACTGCTTTTTGTACAGTTTTTGATACTTGCGTTGGACACTTTTTGGTTGGTTAGGGCTGCAAATCATTTTGACTATTGCTTAATTTATAGACTATTTTCTGAAGGAACCAATTAATTTGTCTATAAAATACCAGAACAAAGGCAAACATGTCAATCAGTTTCCTAAAGCCAAAGATGGCACTTTCAAATTGTGTCTTTTGTCCAACCAGTGGTCAAATACAGACATATTTTCAGTTTACCGTCACATAATGCAAAGAAAAGCAGCAAAGAATCAATTGTCTGCTGACTGTAGAGACACTCTGGTACTGGTGGACAGTGTGTGTCAGTGCATGGCTAAGAAGTATGTGTATTTAATATGTAAAGTGCATTGTCCCTGATTTCTTTGTGAGAAACTTCTATTTTAGGGAACCCACAAATATTCGCTTCAGGCTCCATACACTTGAAGCCAAGTAAAACAGCCCAAAATGAGAGAAGATGTAAATATTTGATGTTTCAGTTCATCAGACTGTGCATACACACCTGTGCTGGAGGAAGAGTGGTAGCCCCCTTTTTAAGGGATGAAAAGGTTGAGAACAGCTTTAGCCGATGTGTTTTTTATGAGGCTGTGAGTGTTGGCAAACTGCAGCTTCTAGCCTTAATGTTTTCCATAAATTCATGCAGACTGACATTAATTTGATGTTTTCTTAAACCTGTAGGCTGTTACACAATTTTAGTGATGGTTTCTTCTTTCCCCATTACACTCCCCTGTGCTCCTCTCCCCTCACTCATTTATTTCAGACCACTGGAGGGAGAGAAGGGAGGGAGAGAGACAGAAGATGGCTTAGCGGCTGTAAAATCAGTTGACTGTTTTTTTCTTCTGACTTTTTACAACTTCTGGTGTCAGTCCAACCAAGAGGGGGAGGACATGAAACAAGGCAGAGAATGAAAGAGTCAAGTGAATGCATGGTATGGAAGGGTGACAACAAAGAGACAGAGGGACCGCAAAGTGTAGGAGGAATAAATGGAGATCAATACGAGACGACAGTGAGGGAGAGGGAAAACAGGCAGGCAGAGAAGCAGACGGAGGTAGAGAAGCGTGGAAGAGTGACAGAGGGAGAGAAAGAGCAAAAGATGGACATAGTCTGACAGTACAGGGAGAGAGAGGGGAGGAGAGGGGGGGAGAAAGGGACGAGAGAGGCCGGATGAGAGGAATCCACACTTGAGGAAGAAAAGGGAGAGCAACAAAAGCAACGGAGAAAAGGGATGGATGAGACGAAGGGAAAGAAAGAATCTTTACATAAATTACTGTTGCGGTCTGAAGGACAATGGAGCATTGTGAGGGCATGAGAGAGTGGTTCCACACACACGCTAACACACACATGTATGTATGTACACGCACACACACTGGGCTATTGTGGTTGTTCAGGCCAGTTCAGAGAAAAGCAACAATGGGTGCCCCCCCCCCCCGCTTGGACCACAGCGGGCTCAGAGCGATTGTGTGTGTTTTGTCCACATCAAAGATAAGGCGTAAAGTTGGTCCAAATGTCTGGCTCTGGGGTTTGTGTGCTGAATGGGCCCACAGCACTGGAGACACTATAATGGCATTAACCCGGGAGAACAGTACAATAGTATTAGAAACACTAATGGCATTAGTTGGCTCAGTCTGAGCTGGGCTCAGCTCTTCTCTGTGGCTCCCACAGACTATGATACTGACAACCCACTGTCTCTGGATGTGTGGGTCTGCTGACCAACACCCACCGGTTCCCCAGACACAAGAAAACACCTTGACATTGTCACTGCATCCTCAGCATCTTCACCCACTCTGACAACATGTGTTGCACTTTTAAGAAGAACATGCTCAAAATAAATTCAACACAAGCGAATTACAACCATATTTACCAGTTTGACAACACACATGCAGCATATAGAAACATACTGCAATTAACAAGTCATAGAAAACAAGACAAAGGTTTATCCGGGACACAAAAAACTGAACTGGTCAAAGACAAATGCCAGGAGTATATAAGACTTGTGCAATCATGTTAAAACTGAAATAAATATTGAGCTTGGAAATACAGGTTGACAAAACAAAAAAATCTTCCCTTCAAGACATGTTTTAAGACTTAAATTTAAAATACTAATTATTAATTTTAATATGGTCTTTCCACAAAAACATTAAACCCAGTGTCTACGAATATGCATATTGTTCATTTAAAAGTTTTAACTACTGGGGACAAGATGTCTACCTACCTTACTCAATGTTTCCACATCACACTTGAGTGACCTACATACTGGATCACAATTAGCCTCGGAAGTAGTTTTGATGTGTACACGTCCGAATACTCGGGTTGAAGTCGAGCTCAGAGAAACTTTCCCCCTTTTAGCAGAATGTGAAAACAGACTGTTAGCGTCAAACTCAGCTTATTCATCATTGTGCACAGCGCAGCTCAAACATCCAAGTCAAGAAACAATAAGCAAAACTCATTCTTGAACCGAGGGGGAATTTAAGTTGAGGTACAAAGGTCGAAGCTCCAGAAATAAACACCATTAGCTCATCTTCAAACATCACCGACGAGTGGCGATCTTCAGCAAACCGCACGTCGAGGCAAGGTTATCAGTTTTTTTAGTTCCTCAGAAACTTCTGCCGTGTTGGAGCTCACATTTGTTGATCCGTGTACGACTGGCAGCCGTATTTTCTCTATTTTGGTGAAAGTGCTTCTCAGAATGTTTGTGTTTCATTCATTTGCAGCATTTTTTCCTAATCTGACATGTGTTGTCACAACGGTGAAGATGTTTTCCTTGTTTTTTTCTCTGAGTGATTTGAGCTCAGCCACCGTAGATATTGCCTTATAACCACTGTTATTCCGTGCTGTATCTTATCAGTTGAAATTATGGATACAAAGTGAGACAGACTGTTAGCGATCACACACTCAGCTTGTGTGGTGGATCCCTGTTGAGTTAGCAGCTGTTTGTGAATAATTCAAATATAAAGCCATTTAACTGCAGTTTCCAGGCAGGTTTGTTTTGCCAAAGCAATGCTAAGCAAAACAAACCACAGGTAAGACAGGTAATACAGCTGATGTTTGTCTGTTTTTCCCCTGTGAGCCGTATTGATATCACAGCAGTTGCATTCTTTTATGGCTGCGCTTCCCAATTGTATATTTTATTGTTTTTTATTAAGTCGAGCAGATAAGTGTGAAATATGTTAGTCAGCATGACACAGGGAGATGGTGTAATTCTTTCTGCTGATATCATGCATTGTATGAGGTATTGATACGGTAAAAACAGGAAAAACAACCTTGCAGTTTAGCTTTTTCTTGTCACAAGAATTCTTCAAAAGTACCAAGAGAGTCCTCAAAAAGTAGATTTGATGGAAAGATTTCATTCAGCGTAGCGCCCCTTTATGAACCGTTTGTCAGGTTTAATAGATAAGCAGCATGTTTAACTCTTTCTGTCTTCTCTGTTCTTCCCAGCCCTACCAACAGATGAAGGGCCTCCTCTGCCATGTATGAAGTTGCGTGTCACAGTGTGCTGCGAGCCCAGTGAGTACACTCCTCTTTTCATCTGTTCTTCCTTTCATGCTTCTCCTTTGTACACCAAGAGACTCCTCTCTCTCTGCCTCTCTCATCGGGCTGTATAGCATGATGTTTAGACTTGCTACTCATCCCTACTAGTACTACTCCCTCTGTATCCCCCTCTCTTTTTAAATAACTCTCTACTTTTATCAATGGAACTAAATGTGTCTTTACCCCTCGCGATCCTGCATTATCTTTAACCTTGTAAGATGAGACTTACTCCTTTTTTTTTTAAACTACATGAACCTCCACTCTCCTCTCCACTCCACGTTGGCTTTTAAACCTAATTGGATTGAGGGTTTTTTTAAGCATTAGTTCCCTCTAAAGTACATCTCTCCTCTTCCTCCACCCCTCCCCTCAATTCTCTCGTCCTCCTTTTTTATTTTTTTTTACCTCCTTGTCTCCCTCATTCTCCCACTCTCCATCTCTCTACCAGTGTGAAATTCCCAGCGTTGATCTAATCCAGAGTGCGCCTGGAGTAATGTTAGTCTTCCAGTCCAGTGAGCTGCCCATTCCGGTTGGGAATGTTGCCCAGTCACTGTGGGAATCCCTGTACAGTTGTTGGTGTATGTGTGTGTGTGTGTGTGTGTGTGTGTGTGTGTGTGTGTGTATGTATGTGTGAGCGTGTGTGTGTATGTGTGAGCATTTCTATGTGTTTGACCATTTTTCTGTGCCTGTGCACTTTGTGTTTTTGTGCACTCCTGCATGGGTCTATGGGCCTTTGCGTGTGCTCTCTGGCGGTTTAATTTGTGCAAGTATATGTGTGTGTGTGCATGTGTGTGTGCGTGCCCTCATATGCGTGTCTGAGACGTCTGTCCCAGTTCCCATCCCAGTGCTATCTGCAGGGGGGCTTGTCGTGCTGTCCCAGGCTGAACTAACACAGGAAAACTGGTCGCAAAGGTTGTGTGTCTCTGTATGTGTGTGAGACCCATTCAGTAAAATTCCTACACCGTCGTCTAACGAATGCCTCCCTACCACGCCGGCATGATTAAATTTGAAGAAAAAAATTAAAAACCGGAATAAAAAAGAACCCTATCCGTCTCGAATGAATTCTTAAATGCCATCACTGTTCCGGCGCGAGACGGGTAGTAATTTGTTGCGTTATTACCAGAGTGAAGGCTGATGGCTTTTTTTATATGTTAATTATCCTGCTGTCATTAATTAGAAAGACCACAGATTGTTGTTCAGTGAGAAAATGCTAATGTAGTCTTGACCTTCTGACAGTATTCCCTGATCAGCCTATCCAAGCCGGAAATAATCAAAATATTTGAAATCACCTGGATTGTGCAGGCTGGGAGACGCACACACACACACACACACACACACACACACACACACACACACACACACACACACACACACACACACACACACACTTGACTTTACTTTAGAAATACTTCTACCTACAAAGATGCACATGCTTCCATCTACTGTTTCCTTTTCTTGTTTTTTTTCCTCTCCCCCTCTCCCTCTCATCCTGTTCCTTAACCAAAACTAATCCCGACTAAATTTCAGGATCTCCCTCTCGTTGTCTTTCACTCCCCCCCCACACTCCACTCCAACCTCCCGCGCTTTCTTTTTTAGTCTTCTGTCATTCCTGAAGTGGCACTAATCCTCCCCTTCTCTCTGTCTCCTCAGCTCTCTCCTCCCTTCCTCATTTTTTATGATCTTTCGCTACTGGAGCAAAACTAATCTAGGCACCATCCATGGCAGTCTCTTACACTTCCTCATTCCACCCCCACCTCCTCCACCTTTCCTTGTGTCTTCTCTATCTCTTTGTTGCATCTCCATATCCACAATACAGTTATATTTCGCCCTGGCTCCCCTCTCCCCGCGTCTCTTCGCTCCGCTCCATCTTTGTCGAGCGCACGCTGTGCGGCGAGTGCGTTGGGATGAGAATGCATGAGGCCGGAGAGAGAAGAGCGAATGAGATGGATGAGAGAGGAGATGAAGGAGAGTTGGAGGGTCTCTCTCTCTCTCTCTCTCTCTCTGACTGTCCATTAGTGGCGGTTTACCACAGCTGTTGTTGTGTTGTTCCCTGTGGTAACACCTCACATACTCTCTGGATCCTTCCTGTTCAGGTTGCCTTTTATCTGACAGGTAGCATGGCAGCAGGGCGCACTGTGCCTGTTTATTCTGTGTGTGTGTGTGTGTGTGTGTGTGTGTGTGTGTGTGTGTGTGTGTGTGTGTGTGTGTGTGTGTGTGTGGCCCTCGGTGATGGCAACCTCTTGTCCTTCAGCTAAATCTCGTCTCTTATCTAAACTTTAAACCCTCCCTTCTTCTCTCCCCAAACTTTTTTTTGTTTTGTTCGGAAAGCAGCCCATGTGATTTACAAAGTAGTTCCATGTGGGGATGCCCTGTTGTGGGTGTTTGAAGTAATTATCAGTGAGCGCACACACACACACACACACACACACACACACACCTGCCTCACACTGGTCTGAAGGACAGAGTGCTGACAGTGAGAGGGTCCGTCAGGTACGCTGTCATTGCTCCAAGGTCAGCTACCACTCGCCAGTCCCTCGGTCTCCTCTCCGGTGTGTGAATGTGTGTGTTTATCGCCTTAATTTAACCCAAGAACACAATAAACCAAGCAGGACAGATTCAGTGACGCAGGAAGCTCCTAATGACATCCTCTGTGTGTGTTTGTGTGTGTGTGTCTTCCCCATCCTGGTTGTAGCTTGAAGCATTGCAAAGCATGTTTTGGTTTTGGTTATGTTTTTGTTTTTTTCGGCGTAGCGATGTGATGTTTATTTGAACACAACGCTGTCACGAATCACGCCAGAGAAACTGCTTTGCTGAAAGGTGCTTGAGCCTGGGTTGCATCAGAAAACAAGGCTCTGAATCGGCATCAGCAGACTGGTGTCATGTGAAATCTCCGGCGCCCTGCAGTCCTCTATTGCATCTTTCACCGACTCGCTTCACCACTCACTCCATACTTACCTTTTTTTTTTTTTCTAGGTGTAACTTCTCCCTAAAACTCCTCCTGTTGTGTTTATCTCTCTTGTTCTCCTTGTCGCTCTGCCTCTCTGCCTTTCTCTTTTTCAGCCGTCCTACTGTGAGAAACCATTATAGACCAACTTCCCTCTCTCTCTAATTGATTCCCTTTCTCTCTCCGTCTCTCTTCCCTTTCTTCTGTCGTTCTCCCGCTGTGAGCAGTCCATTGCATTCATTTCAGTTTGCAGAGCTTCACCATTTCCCCCAGTTTCTTTCTCTTTTTTCCTGCTATTTTTTTTTTTTTTTGTATTTCTTACATCGCTGCTCTCCTGCACCCCCTCCACTCTCTCCCAAATACCTTTGTACCCTCTGAACTCGATACACACAAGGACAAAACTCGAAGACAGGCGCACGCACACACACACATACACACCGCTTTGCCCAACCGAGCTCTCTCGTATCCCAAACTCGACACTCAAAATTTGACTATAACCTCTTTCGTCGAATTACGTTTTTTTGTTCGCCGTTTGTTTTCCTTTCGCCATTTTTGTTTCATTTTAATTTTTTTGCAAAATGCTAACAGTCGGGGTTCGTTAGCATTAGCTCCTGCGTGTGTAAAATGGCGGCACGAGAGGAGAGGTGGGATGGTGGAACAGTGTCTGTCTCTGCAGTGGGGCGTTCTGCCGACTGGAGACACACTCGCATACACGGGCATGCACTCACACACACACTCTCACACATTTAGCCATGGCTGTGCATGTACAGTTACACATGCTGCATGTTTCTGACTGCAGTGCAGAGACAGCTCTGTTCTTGCAGTCATACCACTACGGACGCCATTTTGTGGCGCAGCTCACCATGGCCAAAATTATGATGTTGACACAAACTAGTGTCCTCAGTGTTCAGTTTTTACACGGATGATGTGATTAAAGCCCGATCAAAACACACACATCACACACAGCCGGATAAACTCAAGGCATTTAACATTTTAGTTTCGAAGTGCGGAGTGGTGTCACAGACACACTAATTGATACCGTTGTGCAACTGTTTCTCCACTTCCCAAGTAAATTAGAAGTTTGATTTAAAACATATTCATAATGGTGGTAAGGAAATTCTTTTTTTTTAATTATTATTATTAATGTCTGCCGCATCCAAAACATCCACAATAAAAAAACATACTTATGTCAAGAAAAAGTCAGTGATATAAGTTTTTGTTCATTTTGTTAATTGATTTAAAATGCTTTATTGATAACATAATTCACCTTTTTATGCCTCTGTTTTATCAACACAAATTAAACTTGAAAAGACAGATAATTAATAATTTTTTGGTCATTTAATTGCATTAAAACGTAGTTTTATAGCAGAAACGCGACACTTTTCAAATAAAAATGAACATGACCTTTTGCTGCTGACTTTTTGTGCAAGTACGGCAGCAATATTTAAAGCATGAAATGTCGGAAAATTATTCTTTGCCGTTTTGCTTTGATTTGTCCTACAAACACTCCGAATAACAGCCACTAAGACACAGAGAAGCGCACACACCAGCTCGGTGAGAGGCCCAGACCCAGCATGCTATTTAATGCTTCGTTAACCCCTAGATGGTCGTTAGTTGTACAGAACCTGGGAGTAATTTAGGGGCTCATGTCTGTCGGAGCGACATGTTGCTGCAGAGACCTGTAGGTACAAGATGGATGTTTCAGACAAAACACAGTGTTTTGCTGCTAAGCCCTCATTTAATAAATCCTTTCTCCCTCTGTGTGACTACAACAGATGAGCTCGGAGTGTCCCATTTCCTCTCTCATAATCTCAGTCAATCGCTGTGGGATGTGGATAGGTGGTAGTTTTCCTGGAGACATCAATACACGCTTTGTATTCATGTGTGTGTGTGTGTGTGTGTTTGTGTTTGTGTTTGTGTATGTGCATGCTTGTGTGTTTGAGTCTTCGGGGTTTCCGTGTCAGAGGTGGGTTCAAGGCCGTAAGATCGATTTAATAACAGCTTCAATTGTGCAGCCTCATCCCTGTTTCCTGACCCTCCTGTCCTCTCTCACTGATGTTACACGGCGGTTCCTTTTTCAGAGCGGTTTTAACCGTAACTACCTGTATTTTTATTTTTTTATTTTTTGTCCTTTTACTCTTCTATTCACCAGCTCTCCCACCCACCCCTCCCACCCCATCCCTTCATCCTTACCATCCCTCCATCCTTCCCTCCATTATTTCCTTTTAGTCCGCCCCCTGCTGAGAAAGTGACGCCCAGACACAAACACCCCCCTATCCCGTCTCTTTCTCTCCCTCCCGTTTCTGTCTGTCTGACCTTGTTTCAATCTTTCCAACCTTCTTTTTTCTTCACCGTACTTTCTCACTCGGGTCTCCTCCGCTCTTCCTTTCATCTTCTGTCCACTTCTTGGTTTCGCTCTGTCATTTTGAATTTTCGTGTGTTTTTTCCCCCCTTCTTTTTCATTTCCTGTATCCCCTCTGTATAATCTCGATCATTCTTACTCCTCCTAATTTACATAACACTATCTTTTCCTGTTGCCATGCTTCTCAAGCTCTTTTTTTATCCGACCTTTAAGAGAATTTGCATAGGGGACATATTTAGGGTTGCACAGCCAGTCAGTACTCATTTTTCATGGCGTTAGGCTTTGAGTAATGGTAAATACCCTCCCCTGGTCATTTGTCTGTTTCTTGCTTCTTTTGTTCCACAAAGCAGTAGCTTTATTGAGAAAGTTAAGCATGAAAAAATGACTAATCAGCAACTTGTTTCTTTGCCTCAACTTTATCTAAATCTTCTCTTGCCTCCCTCTCCTCTCTCTCCTATTACAGCATCAGAGGGTTCAAAACAAATACAAAGTAGGTTGCAACATTTTAATTTATTCTTTAGCACAGAATATGTTTACAGTATTTACAGTTGCATATGTCATATTGTCTCTCTCAAGTTCATGTTCAAATGTGATTTATTTGCATGAAAAGCCACTGCTGCAAAAAAGAATATGGCACATAATCTGTATGAAAGCATGGAAATGAAAAATGAGAACATGCATGAAACCAAATTTTGATTAATAGAAAATGAATAGAAAGTAGAAATAGAAATGACTAAAAACTTTAAGGGTTGGCAGACATAGATGCTGATTTAATCACAAACAATCACGTAAGTCAATATCTGCTTGGAAAAGCCCCCCAACTGAACATTTGAGAACTCAAAATAATCACATTATTGTGCCACGAGTGAAGCATGGAATAGAAATATCTAAAGGTGGCATTAGAAATCCAAAATCTTCAGACATCCAAATACTATTATTCTTTTTCACTGAACCTGAGCATATTATTTTTAAAGAATCTAAATTAATTTATTAAATTTGACAGGATTTCCCAACAAACTAGGGTGGCAGCTGGGCTTGCCAGGCATTTTGCCAGCCCATGCCACCCCTCTAGATCTGCTCCAGCTCAAATGCAAAATCCTCTATACGGCCAAAAGTATGTGGACACCCAAACATTATACCTATACATGATCTCAATCCAAAACAACATTAATGTGCTTTTTTTTGACAGACTTTAGTCTTCTTCTACCATTCAGTCACACAAGCATTAGAGATATAGGTAACAAGGCCTGGTTGGCAAATCTGTGTTCCAGTTCATCCCAAACGTGCTCGATGGAGTTGAGGTCAGGGTCTTCCATGGCTACTCCCCAAAACTCGGAAACCTTCCACAAGCTGTTGTCAAGCTAGAAGGCCCACCATATAATAAACTGGAATTAAGGCACTGAGCCCAAACCATGGAAGAATAGTCCAAACTAAAAGTTGCAAGAGTGTCCATATACTTTTGGCCATAAAGCAAATTCATAACATTTCATTCATAAACTTTCTTTCCCTCTTCCAGAAACTGCAACTAGAAGTAGTGTTTGCTCACTGAGGACCGTTTCGCTTCCAGCCCTCCTCATCCTCATCCTCCTCCTGCTGACTACCTGACTTCCTCACCCGTCCTCACGGCTGACCTCACATATATGTCCTCCGCCGGATCAGGAGATACTACTCAGACATTCAAGTACACAATGCAATCTACGCTCAGACAGTGAATGACACAATGCAATCTATGCTAAGCTATCGCAAATGACACATATTACCTTGTGGCTGTTTACCTGTGAAATTCCAGAAAGAATCGGGTGTCTCCTCCAGAACAGGGCCACAGTGACTCAGGGACTGACACGCTGAATCACAGTGATTCATTTCTTGTTATTTTCTTTTTCCCACCTGTTGTGCGAGTAGTAGCACAGACTATTACACGTAGAGCTAGTCATAAGACTCATATCCCACTCTGAAGCCAAAAGAACAATGAGTCTGTCAGGAAAAACTTTTTTTTTTCACTTTCTCATCTCTGTTTCTCATTTTCTACATATTGTGTTGGATTTAGTTCTTTCTGAGAACTTGCCTCCAGTTTAAAAAGTGGCCAAATAAACACATACTACTGTACAGGTTTGAGGTCACTCAGTGAGCTGGTGACTGTCTTCTTTTTCTTTACGTGGGCCCACATGAATAGCTGAAACTGCCTTATTTGAATCTGAGTAGGATAATTGTGTTAAACCTTTGTAACTAATTAGATTTTGGAAATAAAAGGGTTTAAGGAGGAAATGTGGAATATTCTGGAATAGTCATGCAGGGCTGCTGCGCCCCCTACTGGGATTAAACTGGTTTAACTGGAGTTGGACTGGGTTGGCCATGAACTCAGAAACTGGACACTAGATTTTGGTGCTGGATGGTGATAATGGGACCTTGGGCAGAGTTTGTCCTCTCTGTTTGAGAATCAGAGATTCCGAATAAAATACAGAACAGAGTGGGTTTATGGGTAAACGGTGAGCATTAACTCCTCTCGCTCCACTGTACACACTGCGGACCACTAAGGAGGTAGTTGGTTGATGCTCCTCTTGACCAATCAGATGTGCACGTATGCACACAAGCTTTTTGTTGTTTTGTTGTTGTTTTGAACGCAGGACCCTTGATTTTAGGTTTTACTGTATAGTTAATATATTCTGCAAAATGAAATATATTGACTACATTATTCAATGTTTTAGTGAGATCTGATCTCTGGTATTTGAGTGCAAAGGTCTGACAAAAAATATCCTTTTGCATATACAAACAATGATTTACATTCTGGATATTTATGTATATACTGGTATATTTTCATTATTCTCTGCTGCAATGTAGTTTCACAAGTTAAATGATGGTGGAATTAATTTAATTTAAAAACAAAATATTGCCAAATATTTTTTTAAAGAAATCTCTCTAATTGACTGTCCTCAATTAAGAAAGAATATCATAATGAATTTACAATTCATTTATTTTCCTAATTTTAAATTGAAGTTAGAGATAATATAGTTGTGTATTTTTCATTGAATTTAAATGAAGTTTATGTATTTATGAAATTACATAAATTATTTCCCCACAATATTTGAGTGACTTGAGTTCAGAAAATCTATAGGTTAGTTTCTATCTTTAAAAAAACTACATTGTTAGCACTAATATATTTTTTTTCTCTCAACCTATTTGGGTCTCGTGCTGTAAATCACACCAGTCATGCAGTTGTTGTTTTTTTTATGTTAATTTCCTTAATGATGTTTGAAGATTTGTTAAATAATTTCAGTGATGTAGAATTTTACAGTCATGTAAACTATAAATTGGTTTTTGATTTCTTTTTGTGTTTGTGTGTATCGTGTTCTGCTTTCACATTTTAGTGAAGAATGTAGCTTCTTCTGTGAAGAGCCAACTGCAATCTGAGCCTTTTTTTTTCTACGTGGCAAAACAACAAAATAAATATGATTGCATTTAAACGCTTCGAGTCGATCATCATTTAACTTTTGAAAGTATCGATGTTTTATGTAACCGCAGGTCTCAGTGACAACACACACAACTTTACTTGCAGAACACACACATCCAGTGTAATACACAGGAGTACGGCGATAAGGAGACTTCAGGGACTTGAAATGACCTTGTGGTGTAAGAGGCCACTGTAATGTGAGTAACCTAGTGGAATATTGAGCGGAGTTTTTATCTATGGGCAGCCAAAGTCTGATAAGACTCAGATAACCAATAGACTCCCGGTATTAATAGACCCTGAAGCATCATTGCCAATACATCGACCTTTAAAGTAGTGGCTTTATTTTCAGTAAACACAGAACTGAGACTGAATACAGAGCAAGAGGAGTTGTTTTTGTTTTGCACTTTAAATATAGAAATGTACATCCAAATAAGCTGTAAATGTATTTCCATTTATGTCAACTGTAATGTAGAGCCTCGTGTGAAGCCAGAAAGGCAATTTCCTGGATAATGGGGCTAATGCTCCTATTTCATGGTTTATGATCTCTTCTGATGACATGTTTGTCACTGTTGACGCATGTTATGAACTGCCTTTGATTTTGACCTTCACGTAGAAATGTCCAAAGCCCATGTTTTCATTCTTTTTCTATTGTGAATGATGAAGTAAGCGCACTAAAATCAGCAGAAAGTGTGGGGGGGGGGATACTTTTAGACTGTTGTAAAAGGAAAAGGACTTAAAAAGCAGCAACAGTAAACCAAGCCTGTATCCACTTCCATTTTAGCTGTGTGAAAACTGTACGGCTGTTTATTCCAGCAAAAGCGTGCATAAACCAAAAGTGTGATATCAAGTTTTTTTTTTTTTTTTTTTATGTTTTATCTTTGACTGCAGACAGGAAATGTTTGAACAATCAAACCAAAAATTTATATTTTCAGAATGTCCTTGTACTTGACAGTGTTGATGTTTTGAACAAGTCTGTGTCGATGTACTAAAGCTGGAACTGATCTCACCCTCCAAAATAAACTTCATAATTATGTACAGATGTTGCCATATTATATAAATTTAGAAGATCATGAAAACCTCAAGTCCAGGCTTCCTCCGAGGCTTACTTGGGGAAGACTGTGATCATAAACAATTTCTGAGACGACAAATTTAGTTTTTAAGTATCTGTCTGAAAAAAAGGATCCTTATTGCATATCCATGTTGCAGCTCTCCTTTTCCGTGACACTGTAATTACACTGTATCAAATTTCAACACAGCCGATTCTGTTGCCACAAGTTGGCCTATATCTAATTGGACCTCGGCTGAATATTTAAGACTCGGGTTGCCGGCATTGATTACATCTTCTGAAATACAAAACTGTTGGCTATTAATAGAAGCAAACAATGCTTATATAGTTATATTGTAACTTTTTGAAGAAAGACATATTTAAAGGGGAGACTCGCAAATCTTTTAAGGGTTATATAAAATATAATAAGACACTTTTTACAACAAAAAAATGTTGAAATAAATTCTAAGCTGTATAGAAGAAAATGAAATCTGGTGAAGTTGCACCTTATCCTTTTAGTGTTCAGCAGAGAGTAGATGTCTTGGACTTTCCTTGAATTTTGGAAGGGTTTTCTTCACAGTTAAAGAGTTTCTCAGTGTTTAATCAACACCTTGATCGCATTCTTCTGCCTGACCAGTGTATATTTCACATATTTCAGAACCAAGGTGAACTGAGGTGAGGTGAGGTGAGAGGGCATCTGCAGGAAGTGTCCTTCTGAATACTATGGAGAAGAAATGCATTAAGCTCACGAGGTCCTTGAGAAAAAGTGTGTTTCAACACTTTGAATCCATTTGTTGGTTTTTTTTATATTTTATTGAAGTCACAGCATCTATAAAAAATAAGCACTTCATCTCCGCTGGGCAGCGAAGTGATACAAGGCCAAACTGGCTTTCTTTGGGCAGTCTGTCCTTCGAATCCTTCATCAGGTATGTCTTAGTAAAAAAACGCATGTAAAGAGAAGAACACAGTGTAGTAAGCAATTAAAGTGTGCCTTACATTTTTATTATTCTAGACAAGCGTTTTTAATCATTTACTTTTGCTGTTTTATGTTGACTGTTTTCACTGAGATGGGGCTGTAAATGTTATTGATGGGCAGAGCCAGTGGGAGATTTCAATGCAGCCAAAACTTATGCTCCACTGATCTTTCCAGCTCACTAATCTAATATTTTTCATTTCTGCCATAACTACCCACATCTGTCTACCACCAAAAACCTTTTCGCATCATGAAATGGGACTGAATTACAGTTTAAATCTCCTGACCTCTCAGACTCAAATGTAAAACATTGTATCTTTTAGCATGAAGATGCTCTCTGAATAGAAAAAAGGGGTTTTTGTGTTGTGTGCCATCACTCCCACATGCCTTTAAACAGCTTGGAGTGTTATTTACTCCTGAAGGTAACGTCTCAGCAGTGTGTGCAGTAGTACATTGTCCCACAAAAGAGCTCTCAACAATGTCAAGATCAAGGGCTATGGTAAAGTCTCCACATATCAGCAAAACGTGAAATCTCTTGCACATATTGCGTCTACTTTTTCAACACTTTATAATCAGATACAGTATATATTTCCCAGGGTGAATATCTGACCCCTCATGCAGTGGAGAGTAAAAAACTGACTTAATATGTTAAATCTGTGAAGTGGGTTATAACAAGCGGACCTGCTACTTAAATGCCTTTATATTCTTCAGAACAAGAAGAATATCCTCCATTATTTGTTCTGGGAGGTTTCCCTTCACTTCTTTTCCCAGCGACACATTTAGGAGTATTTCCAATGGCCCTCACAGTTGATCAATGGTAACAACACACTTTACCTCATAAACATACAAAACTGAAAGAGCAGTTGTTCTGCAACCATTATAGAAAATATTGCTTTGTATAATAGAGAATTCAGCTGTGTTTATATTGGAGGCTTTGGCAGCCATTCTATAAACACAGAAACCCTAAAGCTTTAAAACCATAGTAAGGTAATTATAGTATTTAAGTATGATAGAGAATTATTGCTAGTTAACAAGTTTGACTGTGATAATCACACTAGACTACCCAAAACTTACCAGCAAAATCACATAGTTTAAATCATTTCTCAAATTGCAGATTCAAAATGTCACCCAAAAACCACTGAAGAAAATAATTTGGAATAGATGATGAGTCTATTGAAATAACACATTTGCATTTACACATTCATTACTGAAGATGCCACATCACAACATACACAGCATACTGCAGAAATATATTTTATATAATATAGTTTTTTTTGTCTGAGACTTTGGGCTGTGAAAGCCTCTGAGGATTGTCATTGAATCATTTTGTAGCCTTGATGAATCTGTGTGCTATTTAATTTCCAGGTGAGGTTTTTATTTCTCCTTCTGCTGTAAGCACACTTTGTTTGTTCTAAATAAAGTCTAAACTATCTGTGTCTGCCTGTGGTACTCTTATTCACATCTTTTAGACCTGTCAGTGAGCCAATAACGATGTAATTATTTCTACCATATGTTCACAAATGAGGCACTTCAAGTGCGTCACACAGGACTGTGATGAATGTGGACGGACCAGATTATGACGTGGGAGAATAAATACACGTGTTAACTGTTTTGGTGTTAAACTCGAGTCAACAGATATAACCTACAGTGTATTGACTGACATGTCTGTTTTGTCAGTGTGTTTTCATTCACCATTCACATTTTCTATATGAGAGCAACTCAAGGACACTCTGAAAAGGACATTGCAAGCAAAACCTGAACAAGATGTCACCTGAAAGAGGAAGGACATAATTATAACTTCTATGCCTGATTTTGGATATTTTACATTAATTCATACATAAAATTGGTCTCAGAAAAGTCCTGGCAAGACTATCTGAATGCTTAATATCCAGTCCTAATCTTTAAAAAGAGGAATCAGTTGACATTGGCTGGGCCTTTCTAGTGTTAAACATCTCCCTGCACCATGTTTAAGTTATGACTGCTGAGTGCAAATGAGCTCAAGTTGAGTTGTGCTGAGGTGATTTTTTTCTCATCAGTTTTCAGCATGCCGGTTGAAGCTTCACAGACCCTGCCCCCCTTTATATTAAAGCGAGGCTGCTGTGTGAAAGGCATTTCTGAACGCATCCCATGTGTGCGGCTACGGGCAGGGGGTCTTGGTTCTGTAGTACCGGACTGCGAGCTGTGACAAACTTAGGATTATGAGACCGGCTTTTATTTGAACGCACCAAAACCAGACACAAATGAGCTAAGTCAGTCACACTTCACATGGCAACAAGCAAAGCACCCTCCTTCCTCGTTCTCCCTCCCACTTTCTCCCTTCCTTTCTTTCTCTCTTACTTTCATCCACTTTTAATGTGTGACACTTTGATACTGAACATCCTATTTCCCGTGTTCTGGTCGATTGGCTTTACATGCAGATGGGTTGGTAATTTGCATAGACTCAAAGGTCTCCCTTCTCTCCTGATGCTTTCTGACAACGGAGTGTCTATTCATCCTCTGTGTTAAGCATCCCTCCCAGGACATCGCCTGAATTGCTGTCTCATGCTGCTTCAAGTCTCGTTTTACACTGCAGGAACTGCTGAGGAATTGGATTAGGAACATATTCCTTTAGAGAAAAGCATCACAGTCACCAAGGCAGGCTCGCATCTGAAATGGATAGTTCACTCTGATATCAAAGCTTGTCACATGTTTTTGTACAAAGTGATCTTAAGTCATGCTGAGTCCATTTCACACACACACACACACACACCGTTAGCTGTGGATTCTGTTATACCTTAGAGTCCCACCTGGGAGATTTGGAGAGTGTATCAGCAGAGTAGCAAGAAGTTATATGGACCTAATGCAGAGGAGGTTCTTCTTTTCCTCACATCACCTTAAGTGGCTGCGGTGATCATACTTCCGCCAGCAGACCTCAAATCTGTCTTCGGAGAACCAATTAAGTTTAAATAGGCACAGGAGGAAATAAAATAGCCACTTTTTCTTTTATTCCTGCTTGTTCCACTTTGTCTCAAATGACTCAAAAGTTGCTGTATCCGAATTTCAAGAATGTTTTGTTTGCAGTTTTGTAGATTTCAAACAGGCCCTGTTTGAAAAGCACAGCAGTGTGAAATTAAAAAATAAGATATTCATAAATATGCAGTTGAGGACCACACACACACAAAAAAAAGTATTTTAGTCCAGATACTTTTAGGCCCCTAGTCAATACCCATATCCTCCCACTATGTCACCCAAAACGTTTTTCTGACTCTGTTTCCCGGGTCAAAATCAAAACATCATTTTGAAATTCATAAGAAGAACTGAACAAAAAAATCCAGAGTTTTAATACACAGCGAAGGCAGTGAGGGAGGAAGTGGTGTGATGACTACAGTAGATAGTTGCTGGATACAGTAGTGAAGCCATAACAGACATGAAGGATGAAACAGGCAAGTGAGAGTGATGGAGTGACAACTGAAAGAGGATGAAGATGAAACTGTGGAAGACAGTGGAACAAAAGGACAAAGGTAATAAACTTTAGAAAGATATCATACACATGTCTAAATCAATTTAGCATCCCTGCCTCTAGTGACAGCTAAAGGCAGGGGTTGAAGAAATATTCAGACCTTTTTCTGAATTTTACTGTCGTATCTGGTCCAAGTGGAGCTGGTTTCAACTACTTTATATTGATTATGTTGAGCAAGAATCACTAGATAAATGGGGCTCTGATTAATGAGATAAGTAAGTATACAAATCTTTCTGATGGGGTTTTTCCTTGACATGATTTAATGAGGAGATTTTTGGGACAAGAAATTTTAATCTTAATAATCCATTTATAATGAATTGTGTTTTATAAGCCTATCACAACTATGGCTGTCAGACAAATAGTAGCAGTGGACAATATCTGAAGTAGAAGTATCTGAAAGTATGAATGTGTACACAGTAGCTATTAAAAGTTATTAATTAGTTACTTTCCACAAGTAAGCAAGCATAGAGCACATGTATTATTAGGCAACCTTATGACAGTATTATAGAGACACTAAGACATTCAGAAACTAGAAAGTTATAATAAACTCATAAGAAATAAGCAGTTTATTTATGTATCAACTATTATATAAATGTACCCTGCAAGTATAAGACGGTTAAAGTCACATAAAGAGTCAGCCTCAGACAGTCTATAGGAATATAATTTTCTTCAACACCAATATCATCATTCCAGACAATGTCCCGGTGTTGCACCACCAAAGCACACACCATTACATTTCAGCCGTGATTATGAAGCCTCTGTTCATTGCCTCTTTTATTACTGTTATTATTAATAAATCAAGCAAGCCGTGAAGCCCGGACAGATAAGTTAGACAGGGGGTATGGGGGGGGGCTGGAGGTGGTAATTGCTGGTGTAACAGTGTGTGCAACCCCGCGGTGGCCTCGTAAGCGACCCGCTTTATTAGATCGGCCGGTATCGATCCTCGCTGCGCGGCGTTGACTAATCTCCACGCGGGCACAGAGAGAGAGAGAGAATGAGAGAGAGAGAGAGAGCGGATCGATGAGCCTGGATTCAATCCTGTCTGGAAACAGAGGAGGTAATTTTTTCTGTAATCACGGCTGCTAACTGGAAAAAGTGAGAACAACGCGCCCGTGAGGTGCGTGGAGAGAACTACAGCATCGGGGTGGAGGTTTCTCCCAGTAGAGAAACTGCAGTCTGCAATTATGGATATTCAGTGTGAGACACAGATTAATCAATAATCTGCCTGCTGGTTGACCTTCACTAGTGTGTCCGCTGCCGCTGCACACAGTTTCTAAAACCTGATTTTCTCACCTCGACAGAAAACCTTTTCACATTATTTACTAATACATTTTGATAGAGGTTGTCTTTCCGGGCAGATTGTTCTTATTGGATTTAGAAACAAGACAAATGGATTCACAAATAAGATAAATCAAGAGTGATATTGAATGCCCTACACACGCTGCCATCTGTATGCAAGACTCCTTCTTAAAATAGTAACATGACAATGGGAAAAGATGTCATAGATTGATGTTTTATTCAACAGCACAGAGAGCCATTACTTAAGGCTGAGACTCACATGTATAAACAAATAGAGCACACACTCACACACACAGACACACACTTCACAACCTCATTCTACAGATATTCACATATCGAGACTTGATAAAAATGTCATGTTTTCCACAGAGGTGTAAGTGCGTAGGGAACTGATCTAAGATCTGAAAGCAATCTGGCTCCGTCAGCAACAGGTGATGCAGTGAGAAGCGACGCTACGTCAGGCGCGCGAGTTCCGCTCCTCTTCTTCATTTTCCAGGAGGTAGGCTGGCCTGTATCGCGTAACGCCCCTACCATCCACCACCTGGAGGGCTGTGTTTCGACAGGTGTTGTCCATGCTGCCCAGTGACGTGTACCTGCAGGACAACACAGCAATTAAGATGAAGAATTCTGCACTTCAGCTCTGATGTTGTGCAAATCTGAATAAGTGGAGGATACAGAACGGCGCAAAGACTGAATGTGTTCTTACCCTTTGTCATAGAGAATACAGTACGGCACATATAACGTCCTCAAGAATGACCAGATGTCATGATACGTCCAGTCCTGTAGAGTGTTGGAAGACATCAACTTAATTAGTTTGTGACTGAAGAGGAAGTCATCCTCTGTGGATTCCTTTGTGATAAATTAGGTCAACTGCTGAGCATGCTAGTGTTTCCCGTGTAAGTTCTATATGTAGCATTGCGGCTGTCACAGTCCGACCACTAATGCAGTCTGGAAAACCTGCATAATGTAATTCAGTCCAGTATAACAGACCAACAATAACTGGTTTCATTTTTGAAGCTTTTAATGTGAAACATTTGTTGAGAATGTGTCACAGAGGTTTGGCCTCAGATCACCAATTTGTTTTGGGGTTCTATTGGAAACCATTATATCGTAGAGGTGTACCTACTATTTGTTTGTGTGAGAGGGGCAAAAGAAATTGGGTACAAAGTATTCATAACATCATTTAAAGCTTCATGGATGCAGTGGTATTATTGCAGGGCTATTGATGTGCATTAAACTGTGCAGGTGTTATGATATTTTGTCCACAGTCCTGTAGATCTGCACGCTGAAATTTCAGTCAAGATGACAAATAACATGAAGTGTAACAAGGGCAAACTGCCTGGCTAGTGCAGTGAAAACAGATTTGTATTACCAGTCAAAAAGCAGTTTCTCCTGCAGCGCTCTATACACTGCAACTTTAAAATGTGGGGGGAACTGAAGGACTGCTTGGTTCTCATTTTTATAATTAATATCTGCAGGTGCTCTCTAAAAAAGTCGTGTGAGGTAAACCTCAATGTCCAGCTGTTACTTAAGTTTAAGTTGTGTTTCGGTTACATAAATACTTTTTGACTTATTATGAATTTGAATACGGATAGGAAAAATACAATAAGAGAAATACCAAAACATAATGAAACAGTATATCTATTTAAGGTGTGTGTGTGTGTGTGTGTGTGTGTGTGTACGCGCGCATGGTGCCTCACTAGTAACGGGTTGACTCTCATGTAATCCGGCCAGCCGGGGTCAGTGGGACACATGGGTGTGAGAGTGTGTGAGTAGGGGTCACTCCTCCTGGTCCCCATCAGGACGGCTTTCAGCTCTGGCCTCCTCTCCTGCACCTCGCTCAGTGCCTGCCGTATACTGCCCTCCACAGCAAACAGCTCCAGGTCATACCTATGGGAGACACGTCACCGAATAATCAGTTGCCGTACTGTAACATGGACCAGAGAAGCTTAATACACAACTATTTTGACTGGTAACACAGGTTAAGTATTAAAATTATATATATATATATATATATATATATAAAATAACTATAAGCTGAAATGTGTTTATTAACATTATGCAATAGGATAAACTGGTGGCGCACCTTTTAATCGTATCCTGAAGGAATCTCTCCATTTCTGTGAACGGAGAGACAATACGGATATACAAAGCTTTCACCTTGTCTTTACCAACTGGATACCGCCTGAGAGTGAGAGGAGAGGGAGAGAGAAAGGGGAAATGGGATATTAAAAAAAGATAAATAAGTTCCTGTGTTTCCTCATCACCAGCTCTCACTGTCCAATACAGGTCAAGAAAGGTCCACACAGTAGTCAGTCTTGTCCAAGAGAATTCATTTCATTTCCTATCTACTGTGAGACCCCGCTGTGCAGACGAGGTATCATTATGTTTTTAATTTGAATCTCCCTTTCATCTTTTCTCTCTCAGGTCATTTGTTTTTGTCCTGATTAAGTCATCCCGACTACGATATGTTCTAATTGTCTGATCTGGTCTTCTCCCCTCCTGTTACCGTTTCAGCGCTGCGTAGTAGAGATGCAGCAGTGCCGTGCAGTCTTTGCCTCCGTTGAAGCCGATGCAGACTTCCTCTGTCGAATACTGATCCAGTGCAGCCTCTATTGTTTTCAGCGCAGACATAACTTTCTCACCCAAAGGTGTGCCTGTGGGAAACAAAATCCATGATAGCAAATTTAGTCAAATAATATAAACGGTCCCTCATTCTTATGTCAAATTCAGAGTAAAAATATCTGCTTGTCCTTTGTCTTATTTTATTCATGCTCAATTCTATCCTCTGCTCAGTCTCATGCCAGGTATATTCTTTTTTTTATAAACCACTATGATTTTATAGCGATAATTACTTTAATCTTTTTGCTTCCTTTATAGGTCCCAAAGCCTGTGTAAAGTGAAGTTCTCTGTAATATTCACTTTATATTAAGTTTAACTATCATCTTCTACCAGCCCCTGTCACCCCTCTCACCGCTGTTGGCCAGTGTGTACACCTCCACAGGGGCGATAGACACCGGGTCAGTGACCAAGGGCACCACGCTACCCTTGGGCAGCATGTCTAGCAGCTGTTCCCGGGCTTTGTCCACCTCCTCTTGGCTATCAGAGTCCAGGACCAGCCTGACTCGGTGATAATTGCTCAACCAGTCAGGGTAGGAGCCCAGAGCCACTTTCTGGCCCCAACCAGCCTGCAGTTTGGTCAGCACAGGAGCGATCTCCGCCTCATCTGCATCCACAAACACCTAACGCAAAGATCTTTGGTTAGCTCGCTTATGCTATCAAAACACAGGATTCAGATGGATTTGTAAATGAGAGTTAAGGTCATGTTATTACCTCACGAGAGTGAAACGTAGTCCCTGAACCAGCAAAGAGGTGCTCCAGCCCACTGAACGCCCTCTCCATCAGAGACGGGATCCCAGGAAAGATATACACGTTGCGCACGCTGACCTGGGCGAAGAAGGCGGACACATCATGTACTGAAAGAATACATGGGCTCGGCAGTCTGCGTTCTCATAAACCTACAGGTTTATTGTGTATTTTCTGTTATTGTGACCAATAATTTTAATTTGAACAACATGTATTTTAAGGTAGTTAACCTCTTGAAACTAATCTTAGTGTCGTTCTGGTTACTATACAGTTTTTAACCATGTCAAAGAATCTAGTTTCTGTTTAAGATGTCCCTAATCTCATGAACTGATATTCATTTGATATTGTGCCAGTTTCTTATTTTGAAATGAGTTGCTGAATATCTTTTTTTATTCTACTTGAAATAAGTGCTTTATTAAGTTTTGCCTGAGTGGTCAATTGTTTTCTTTATTGTTTATTATCACAATTACTTGTGAATCACGTTCTGAGCATGTTATGGTACAATCAATGTTATGTTTAGGAAACCTACTGTATGAATAAATGGAGTTAATGCACATATTTAATGTCGATACATCATTTCGTTACTGGCACTAATAACTCATGTTGCATCTCTACCTGAAACTGTTAACAGTATAAATATAATCAAAAGGCACTACAGATGTTAACCATGCAGACTACGATGATCTTCATTAAGGAAAAATATCAACATGTAATGTTCGAATTCTAGCAAACTGCAAGACAAATACTTTCAGGTGTGTATTCCTTACGCTGCTGTTCCCTGTAAATGTTCGATGTGATTATTCTGCCCACTGTGAGCTGCTTTTCACTCCTGCTGTGTCTGGTTAGCAGTTGACGTTGCAATCTGTCTTCTAAAATAACCTCAGAACAGGATGGAACGGACAGAACATTATGTGACTGAGTAAACATCTTTCTGATAGTTCTGGCAGCTAAACAACTTTTATTTGCCCCAAAAAGCCGACTGAAAATGTGGTTCACAGCAGATTTCTGGGCCGATTTTAACTTAGACTGCAGCGAGTCAGTGAGTAGGTGGAGGGTCCTGATCCTTTATAGCTTGGAATAATTGGATCTAATTTAGTGTTTTATCACAACATTTAACAACTGCAGTTTGATGAATGAACTAAGCCATTCTCCTCCATCCTGCGTTCACTCACCAGTGGGTAGCGGAGCGGTTGCCCGGTCTGAGGGTCAGTTCCGTAGTTGAGTTTGGCTGAGCGAGGCACCATGGCCAGCTTCATAGCAGCACTCTGCTTGTCCTCCACCCCAAAGAATTCCTCAACCAGCTGGGAGAGCTCAGGGTGGGGATGTAATTCCTCTTGGAACGCCATAGCGATGCTCTCAAAGGTGACGTCATCGTGGGTGGGGCCTATGCCCCCCGAGGTGATGAGGTGTGTATACTGAGACGAAAGAAGGGCCACCTCTTTGGCAATGACCTCCTGTTTGTCTGGTATGACCGTTATGCGCTGCACAGCCACTCCCAGCTTCCGTAGTGCTCGTGTCAGAAAAGCACTGTTCGTGTCCAATGTGTGACCCTGACAGATGAAGAACGAGAAGAGACAGAAGTTTGTTTTTCAATTGCGTATTTCCACCCACGGTTGAATGTTACATTCAAGGACTTAACAATGACTCCAAGGTCTTGCTTGAGGAAATTTAAATGACTCACGGTGAGCATGTTTTGAGGGTGACACATGACACTGACAAAACCAAAGGCTTCATATTTAAATCATGATCATGTCACGTCAAGAAATAATGGTGAACTTGTCAAAAACTAGCACTGGTGCCACATCAAATAACATCATAGAGTTTTTCTGAGGATATGAAGTGTGGATCTCGGACTGAAAAGATGTCAAGAGTGCTGAAGCATACTGATGAAGTAGGGTATCATGCATTAGAATGTATAAATTAATAAAAAATCATACTTTCAAGTTTGCAGATCTATTAGAAAAAAAGTGAGGGGTTTATTTTGATTCCACAGACTTTCAAGGATTCTCAGTGGGATACTGTTAATCAAACAAACACAGCTTCAAAGTGAAACTAACCACAAGTATCTATCAACACTAAACTACCTTGAGGATCTCATCTCCAATGATGAGAATGGCTGCAGTGGGAACATCCCCGTTGGCTGCAGAGGATGGACTGGAGCCCTGGTGGTTTGTGGACATGGTTGCGTCACAGAGTTGAGCGGCCAGTCTCCTCACACGCACCACTGCTCTACTCAGCTTGGGCAAAGCAAGGCTAGAGGACAAGAGACAAACGCTTACAACACTGTTTATTCACTATCTGCACTTATGTCTGCATGTATGTTTTGTTCTCAAGTGTAAATGAAAATTAAATTAAATGTGTGAACTGCAAATGTTCAGGTATCAATAATGAACAAAGCCACAAATCTGCCTTGTCAGTAGCAACTGTATCGTGACATACATCAAGTTTGTCATCGTTTTCTGCTTTATTGTGTTTCTCTGTATACTTTTCAGTGACTACCAGTTATGCTAGAGGATCTATAAAGTTCATTTTGATCCTTACATCAACATGAAGAATCCATATGGAGTATCCCAAAATGTTTCATTACAGTTCAGGCCCTCTTCTCCTTCAAAACTTGCCTCCTACCAGGTAGTATCTAGGAATAAACACACAAAGGAGCAAAGGATTAGAGAAAGAAAGAAAGAAAGAAAGAAAGAAAGAAAGAAAGAAAGAAAGGGGCAAAAAAGAAATGGTGACAGACAGTGCATCAACTAACAGTGACTCCTAGTCAGTTGTTTTTAGACATCACTCAGCTGATATGGCTTGACGTTGAAGTTGAACAGTGCATGTTGAAAGAGGTTGAAGAAACAATGAGCTGTGTTGAAGACACTGCACTTGGATAATTAATATTCATTTTACCTCTGGGGAAAATATTCGGTGTATTCAACGAGTCATATCCGTCAATGACATTGATCCACCTTCATACCGGATAGCCACGCTATAAGCTGTGGACATTGCAAAGTGTGGTCCATTAGGTTGTCGTCCACAAATAAAGCCAAACGTGCTGAGAGGAGTGAAGACAAGTTCTCTGCCACGAAAGTGCATTGAATGTCAAAATGTGTGAGCAGGTAGAAACTGGATCAAAGGTTTAATGGACAGCTGCCCGCTATGTCCAGCGGTCAAACGAGTTAACGTTAACGTACATTGTCAGTGCGGGACGTCCAGCCTGCAGCGCTCACCGGTAGTTACAGTCAACTATCTCTGTGTATGTTCGCGTCCAGCCTTCACGTTGTTCATAATCTATAGAAAGGACTGCTGTGAGTTACAGAAACATGCTACTAACTTATATCCCTCACATGACTGCACTTTCTAAATTGTTACGCAATTTGGACACTCGCAAGTTAGCCGACGTGAAGACAAGGTGAAATGAACCACGTGCGCATACGTTCCCCTTCATAAAACTACCGCAAACTACGTATGAACTGATATGAAAGAAAGCGTCAGGTAATTCAATGACACATTTGAGCTAAATGTGGCAGTTCTCCTTGCTAGGTTACATAGCTAAGCCTTTGTTGGGGGCACTAGCAACAAACAAGCACTAGGATTCACTTACATGGCGGCTTATGTTCGCTATATACTGCCGATTCTCTTCACTACCATATATTGTGAAGAAACACATAATATACTGGGGTTTTTTTAATAACCTCAAACGGGAGGAAACTTACTCTTACTCCTGAGCCGCATATTTCCTCGTTACGTATCCGTGTAACCAGCTTCGTTAAGTGGCTACATGTCACTCGTCAGCTGTCCAATCACAGACAATAACAGGATTCCAGAGTGGTACGAGAGCCAATCAGGTTCACGGAGGCGGGTCTTAATGGTCAGTCTATTTATATACACGGAAGTAAGTAATCTGGAAGACAATCACGTTGTGCCGCAATCAACAGAGACGTTGCGGAGAAATGTGTCGCTTGGCCACAGTAAATATGAGTATTATCTAAACGTACAGTGCCGACAACTCCTATCTGCGAGTTGGCACTTTGCATCATCTCCTCTCGGATAGCATGATGTTAATGTTAATCATCAACGACTTATTTCCCTTTGCCCAAATCAAAAGTGACACTGAGATCACTGCAGCTCGTCTGCCTCTGCTGGCTGGAGGAGTCAATAACATGATTGACCCAAAGTACCGCGTCTGCTGCTGTTTTCCTCGCCTACGGGTGGCGCACGAACAACTGGGTTGTGTTGAAACAAAGTGGAATTGCATATTTTATTAGTTTGATAATATATTTGTGGTTATATGTGCAGAATATCATCAATCAATTGATTGACTAATGAAGAAAATCTTTGTGCATCTATGTCCTCTTACCCAGAAAGCACCAAAGTGGCGAGCAATAATATAATAATTGGCCATCAGAGCATTTAAGTGTAATATAATATTCCCATGGTGTTTATTATAAAGTATTGCAGCTGGCTCTACAAATATGGAGGCCCTTTTTTTCCAGAAAAAGTAAAAAAAAAACCATGAAAAGTTATTATATGATAAAACATACTCATGATAAGTCCAAAATAATGAAATGATAAAGTCAGAACTGAGACAAAATTATGATATAGAGAAGACAATAATAGATAATAAAATATTATATATTTTATAATGCTTGACTTTAAAAGTTAGTATTTTCTATCTATTATATATTTTACTTACAGCGGGAGTATTTTGTCATTTCCACAGCTTTTCATACTTTTTTCCTGGCTGAGATAAGCTTCTATAATGTGTTGAACGACATAAGAACATATGAGTGAGTCAGCATGAACAATACCAATACCCCGAAACTGGAGCAGCTTAACGGAATTCAGCCATTTACACATGTGCTTTTTCAGCATGTCAAATGGGGCTTCTGGGAAAAAGAGTCTATTATAGCTATGTATAGACCGACCCTGGGTGCACGTGAGAAGCTCCACATGAGTTGTTGATGGTATTTTCATTGTTTAGGGGTATTGCTTTCATTCTTTCCATTATATTAAGCTTGTATGAAAATCACTGTCTTTATATCCATCAATACTGTGCTAATGGAAATGAGGGGACTAAAGGTACCAGTGACTGTCAGAGACACAACAGCTAGAATTTATGTTCATTTTGTCTTCCCCATTTATATCAGTGAGGACTGAGCTGCTTAATAACAGAAACACCTCTCTGTATAATACAGTTCAACTAACTTTACATCCTCCAAAATGTTCATACAGTTGAACCAACACCTCTCCAAATAACAAAAACTGAACATGAGGTTCATGAAAGTAAGTTAAAAAAAACAACAATAACAACATGTTCGCATGTGGTTTTTATTTAAGATGACTCAAGTGTTAATGCTTTTGGCTCGCTGTCTGGGATTTCTACTTTTGCGCAATCTGCATTGAATGGGCCAGGTGCAAAACAGGGCCAAACACACACACACACACACACACACACATATATATACACACACACACACACACACACACAGCCAGATGACGTTGCCAGTTGTTCACGGAAGTGGCTTCTGTCGTGGCTGCGGAGGGGGGGAGGCAGGGGGAGGAGGAAGGGAAGGAAAGGGAGAGGAAAGAAGAAGTTTAGACTCATCTCTTATGAAGTTAAACAAAACTGTGAGGCGCCTGTCGGACAAAACCATCGACCCTTTGTCCTGTTAGATGAAATTAAACTCAAGTTGGTGCAGCAACAGCTTGGTGGGCAGGAGGGGCAACTCGAGGGAAAGGGAGGAAGAGAGCTGGTAAGTTGCTCGTTAAAGTTGACCACACTTTTTTTTCTCTCTCTCTCTCTCTCTCTCTCTCTCTCAGGGGCATGGATTGTGTGTGCGTGCTAGTGCGTCAAGTTGTACATATGAGAAGTTTTGAGGAAATGGTTCATTTCGCCTGCTATCTTTGCGGTGCCCACGGGGAATCATTGTTCTGTCTTTGTAAAGTCGTGTGTGTCATTTATAAGGCAACACAGTGTCGTGTTAGCCTGTCGGGGTCTTACTGTTAAAAAAAAAAAAAAAAAAGTAGCTCATGATCTGACTGGGCTGTGCACACACGCGCGAGCTAAATGCAACTTGTGTTCGTCCTCGCGCTGTCAGACGAGTTTTTTTTTGTTATTTGAGCTTAAAGTCTCAGGAGGTGCCAGTCGAGCCACATTGTGGAGTTTCACAGCCACTGTTAAGCACTGTGGTTACTTTGAAATAGGCAATGATGAGAACTGAGTGGCCCCCGAACCGAGTTTATGCCTCTTCCAGTAAATAAATAGAGAATTGGTCATTAAAATGGCCTTTTTGGTTATCTGTTACACACAGCGCTGATATCAGATTCAGAGCTGAAATAATTAGGTGATTGATCGATGAGTCATTAGACAGAAAATGAATAAGGAGCTAATTTGATATGCTGACATTTTTAATGCAAAAATGACAAACATTTGCTGGTTCCATATTCTTCAATGTGAAGATTTTGTGTTTTATATGATAGTGAAACTGAATATCTTTGTAAGATCTCACCTTTGATCAAATTATCTGATGTTTTCTAGACAAAAAGAAAATACTTGGCAAGTTAATTCATGAAGATAATAATCAGTTGCAGGCCTTACGTCCTTTAAACGAAAGGGTCCTGGTAGTGTCAGATTTGAGGTTTCTTCAAGTTAGTGAGACAAGTTTCAGTGTACACACACACACACACACACACACACACAAACAAATCTGTACACAATCACACAGTAAACTTACAGTCATGCACCACCATTTCTTCTTCTGTATTGAGCGTATGCATGGAGAGTGGTCAGCGAAGCTCACCCCAGATGTGTTGAAACCTTATATATATATATATATATATATATATATATATATATATACTGTCAATGCTTGAAACAGGGTCACTGTGACAGAGTTAAAGTTCACCATGAACGAGTGAAGGACAGACAGACGATTATGGAAACAGACTCAAGGGTATGTGGGATGATTGAGGCAACTGAGAGCAAGGGGGGGGCTCAATGCTCTTATCAGGGTCAGCCACACAGCTCAGACCAGCAGCCCCTGACACGATATTATATGGTGGAAGTTATCTCCGCAGATGAAATGGAGGGGAAGAGAAGGTCCAATCAAGAACTGATGCACCCGAAAAATGGTAGATTTAGACACATGTCAGGACCCAGACAAACACACACACTATATACAAGGACAAAAACAACACAAACGGAAGGACAGCCGGATACACAATCTGTCAGTCGAAGCGGACATCTCGGCCGCTCTATCGCAGCGTTGCCACAATCCAAATCCACTTGATTAAAATTGGATCTGTCCAATTCTCCTCAAACCGTATCAATCACCAGTGAAAGCTTTAGTCCTGATTGACAGCACAGCGTGACACTTGTGGCTGTTACAGCTTCACTCTGACAGGTGTGTGCGGTCATGCACACACCTGTCAGAGTGAACACTCACCCACAGACATACACACAGTCAGTCATTTCAGAAATAAGCTTTGATTTTTTTTGTTAGCAGTAAATGTTAGCGCCGATATTAACCTTGAATTAGTTTTGTGATACTTGAAACTTGGCTATTGATGAAACACGGTGTCAAGACTGTTGACAGGACATAATGTGTGGGTGTCTGCTCATGTGAGGATGTGTTTGTCTGTGTCTTTGTCGTATATGTATTCTATATCTGTCCGTCTTTCGGTGTGGGGGTATGTTTGTCTGTTTTTGCGTCTGGTGTGTGCGCATGTGAGTGTGTTCTGGAAACAACCTGTGGGAGTTTGTTTTCGAGGTCGTAGCATGTGGTTGTCCGTCTCTAACCCTACACAATGGGACGGAGTGTCAGCCGTATTTCCTCCTGCACTGCTCCGGTGGAGTGCAACATGCTCAGCGTTCAGTACACCGCATGAACCGCAATTTGATCAAAATCCTAACCTTTGTGATGTTTCAAACGAGAAGTGAGAGTAGCTTGGTATTTTTGGATTCTGTAGTCACAGGCCCCTATCGTTATATTGGCTGTGACATGTACAACATATCAGCATGAATCTGTTGTGTCATGTGCATTGAGATGAGAAATGTCTCTTATTCTTTTATCGTAGTCGATCTGTTTTTATGCAGAAATCGAGATTGCATTTTTAGAAGTCACCTCTTTTTGTTGCAGATCAGGGCTCCTCCATCTATGTCTGGCCTTGCTCAATGTGTTGGGTGTGAGATTGAAGTTGTTCCTCTACTCATAAAAGTCACTTTAGGGTTAGGTTGATATCCTGTCTGGAGCAGCTTAGATTCTCATTTAATCATCAGTCCCTGACAGAGCTGTTATCACTGCTTTAGATTGTTGTTCCTTATACTTTATTTCAGAGAGCAATACATCGTCACACTCACTGAAATATTCAGCAACTCTGCAAATACCTAGTGAAATACTAACACTTTGAACATGCCGGATGTATTTTAATAGCATAATCAATAAAAATGAAGTGATTTAAACCCACTCTGTTATTTGAGCAGCTGGGGGAAAATGGCATTTGGATACCTGTTTTGCTAAAATAAATGTAAAAGCAATGATACTGCAAGACACTTGAATTAGATAACACAATCTAAATGGTGTTTGTAGTATGCACAGTGACAAAACTACTTAATCTATATTTAAATGAAATTGACTGTGTTTGCAGACCAGGGACTTAAAAACATTTCTACCTTTTACAAACATTCATAACATTAGTGTCCCTAAATGAAACCGCTTCCATTCAAAAGGGACATGTTTTGAGTTGTGTTAATGTTCACCTCAATCTGGTAAAGGGTAACCTGGTTAATAGCTCATGCATAAATAGAGTATGTCTGGGTGTCATCTGACGCTTTTTGATA